TTTTCGCTACACCGTTCTAACCATGTTTCGAAAATGGAAGCTAAAAGCTACGAATTTAATTTTGTAATTAAATTAAAGACATGTCTTTAATTTAATGGTTAGAACTGTGTAGCGAAAAAAAAAAAACATTTTAAATAAATGAATTTATAATATTAATGCTCTGTAAATTTACATTGAGCACTATTTTGTAAAAATAAAAATAAGAACACCGGCTTATCTTACTGTTCTTTCTTTTTATTTATATATACGTACATAACTTCCAGATGTACTAGTGTAAAGTATACTGTAATAAGGACAAAGTGAAGTAAAGACAAAAGGAAAAGTTATTTTAACCGACACATTTGCCTTGAAGTATCTTAGGGGACGAAACGCGTTGGCTAAGTTTACTTTTTTTGTCTTTATTCAATGTAAAATGTACATATCCAACTGCAAAGACGGTTCGTGAAAAATGGGAAACACATCTGTTGCAAAATACAAGGATAAACTTTAAAAACCAATCCTCTCTACTGAGGACACATTTTTTTTCCTATTATGATCATTAAAAAAAAAAAAAAAAAAAGGCGCCAAATGTGCAGCGGTTTCCCTCCAAAAGTCTGTCTCTCTTCAACCGGAACACAATGACTCATTTGCCCCCAAAATTTTTTATTTATCGAATTAATGTTATAATTTTTAATTTTATTATTATTTTTTTTAATTTTAAATATTTATCATTAATTTATTTTAAAATAATACAGATAATAATAAGATAAAAAAAAAAATTAAAATTTCACTGGACATTATTTAATTTTTTTAAATTAAATTTAAAAAAAATATAATTACAAAAATTTCTTTATGTATTTAATTTTTAAATCATTTAATTTTAATATATAATATATATATATATATATATATATATATATATATATATATATATATATAAAAAATAAAAAAATAAATAAATAAAAGAAGCAAAAAGTTGAAATTGTTTAACGTAAAAAACAGTTTGGAATTAAAAAAGATAAATCAACAATTAAAAATGTTAAAAGTACTAGATTTTTAAAAGTAGATTTTTATTTTAAAATTTAAAAATAATTTAATTTTCCACTGACTAATAAAAATTCCCAATCTTAAAAAAATAATTAAATTAAAAAGAAAAACAATTTTCTGAAATATGAAACCAAATCAAAAAATCGGGACATGTTTTTACTTTTTTTTTTTTTTTTTTTGAAAAGGAGTTCGAATTTTTACCGTAAAAAAATATTTTTGTTTGATTTATTTGCATTTTTGTCTCTTATGATAAAGAAAATTAAATTAAATGTATATATATTTTTATTTTTAGAATTTGATGACCGTTTAAGGCGGGAAAAAGGTCAATTTAGGTAGCACCCCTTCATTTAAACATGTTTCATATCAACATCACGTCTTTTTTTATATGATAAGCCATTCTAGTTCTCTAATTAGAGGACTAGAATTAGATTATAAAATAGACATATGACTATATCTAAAAATGAAATACACACACTTCATCTCTTCATTCAAAAATGTTTTATTTTAAATAATATAGACATTTCTACTAGTATTTTAAAACATAATCCTTTCTGGTTATGTAATCATCGAAGGGTTAAATGAACGATATTTATATTTATTATTAATTATATACTTCAGCTAATAACTTTGTTGTACATATATCATAATGTGATGGTGTTAGTGCACGATGTACAACAAAATTATTTATTAACCTTACAATACTGTTTAGTTTATATATATATATATATATATATATATATATATATATATATATATATATATATATATAAAATTTCGAATGTTCTAAAAGTAAAAACTTCATTATTCAAAAAAAACTTTGATCCTTCCTCTTAGACTTCGGCAATAAAACTGCCATCATTATGTTTTGGGAGCATTTTTTCACCATGGCATGCTGTTTTTTTTTTTACAGATTTCATGGAGGTACTATATATATATATAATGAAGAAATATAGTTTTAAGTTGTTCTATATTTATGGGATAAACTAAAAGGTCTCAATATCAGAGATAGAGTGTATGTAAATATAATAGTGAACAGTGAAGTCAACACTCAGAGGCGACATGCGGCCTGACGATTGCGTCTCGCATGAAACAGCCTGTCACCTCTGAGTGTTGACTGCAATATTCACTTAAAATATCTATAATTATAATATCTATATAATATCTATATAAAAGGGTCAAACACTAATATTCCATGGTTATAATTTATTACATTGAAATCCAATAAAAATTAACCATGGAATATTGGTGTTTTTTTTTAGCCTTTTATATTCTTGCTCTTAGTCTTGTACATAGAGTTGTACCTGGATTTTATACTCTTGGAAATTATTGTCTTCCACTGGAATCGAAACTATTCGATGTGAGGATGTGTCCATAAGTTTTCTCTCTGTGTGTGTAGGGTGGGGGCTTGTTTTGTTCTTTTAGCAAGTGCTTCTTTAAGGGCGGTTTATTCTTCGTTGTGTTTACTGTTTGATGTTGAAATTAACGTCCATGGTTACTAGAGTTACTAGAGTTGCATTTTTTCTGCTACTGTTCATGAGGCTTGTTGCTTTTTTTTTTGCTTTTTTTTGTTTTTTAAATAATTCTCTTTGGTTTTTGGTGTTGTGTTGGGTCTTTGATGTAGGATTTTATTATTATAATTTGGGGGGGGGAGAAAAGAAAAAACTTCGACTTTTCGCCGATGAATCGTCAACAGAAAAACAGATCTTCATTTTAAAATAATTAAATTTGAAATAATTAAATTTAAGGTCATTTCTTTCTTATTTTAAACGCATCCAACTGATTTTCTTTCTATATTAATTTTATTATTACTAAAAAGCGGAAATTGAAAAGGAAAAAAAAAATGTTATATTTATAAAAAAAAATTTTAATTAAAAAAAAAAAAAAAAAAAATAAAAAATGTAATTGTAAATCTGTTTCTTAATCTTATGTGCCAAAAAAGTACTTTAGAAAGAATTTGAAACATGATCCCTAAGAATATAGACAAATTGCATTTCACCACCAACAAAAGACAAGGGGTCAACCAGTGTAATTTTGGTAGGTAACGTTTTTTTTTTTTAACTTATTTTTTAAGGTAAGTAGGTTTTTTTTGTAATGAAAATGCTATACACGGATACCAAGCATTTTAAGTAGTAATAAGTAAAATAAAATTAATTAAGGAAATTAACTATTTATTAATTTATTTAATTATTAAATGTAAAATAAAAATTGTGAGCCCAAATTGAAACAAGTTTTATAAACTGAATATCGACAATGTTTTCTTTTTGTTTTTTAATTATTTTTAAAACATTTTCTGGCTATTTTCGAAAAAGTTATGAATCCGGATGAAATTCAGGGATGGACATAAAAAAAATGTCAAAAATTCACTCCAACAAAAAAAAAAAAAAAAAAGACAAAAAATTAAAAGACTAATACAGAAAAAAATAATATCTTTGTAGATTCATCAATCCTATTAATTATTGATTATTGATCATTAATTAAAAATTTTTGTCGGGGGGATATATTTTGGTTTTTCGTTATTAAAAACAAAACTATTATTTTCCTTTATTCTGGTTGATTTTATTTTCAAAATTCGGTTAATAATTGGAAAGAAAAATAATATTTCTTTTTTTTACGCAAAAAGAAAATCTTTTATTATTCAAAGACAGATGGACTTTTTAAGTTTATCAATGATTCCAGTCCGAAACCATTCCGTACAACAAACACATGATGCAGCTAACAGCTAACTGCTAACAAAATTATTATTACCATATTTTTCCCCTCCCCACAAAATTGATTTCTTATTCAGAAAAAAGGATATAATGTTTCAAGAATTTTTAACTTCAAAATGAAACAAGTTTAATAATTATAATTGAAAAATTAAAATAAAATCTTTTTTTGCGACTGTTTTTAAAATATGTCATTGAAATAAATGACGGATTTTTATTTGGGGAATAAAAGACATTTTTCAAATCAAAGAAGAAATAAAATTAGTTAATTTTAATAAAAAGTCATTAAAATTAGTCTTAAAAAAAAAAAAAAAAAATTCTATTTATTTTTGTCAATAACAAAGATGAGTACAATAATCCGAATAAGTAAAATTAAAACACCTCATCACAGAAATTCAAATTTATTTTATTTTAAAGTTTTAAAAAAGCAAAAAAGCAAAAAAAAAAAAAAACGACATTTTTTTAGACGTCGTTTTTTAATCTTTTATCAAATTATTTTTAATTTTTATGTCAACAAGAAAGAAAATCTTTTGTTTTTCGATATTTTGCTAAAAAATATGTTTGATTGATGTTATTGTTATTGTTGTTTAATACAAGAAAATGAGCAGAAAGTTTTAAATTAAACGAAAAACAACCGATACCCGGGGTGGAGTTGAAATCTATTTCTTTCCACGTGTTTTTTTTTTTTTTTATAAATGGACTTTACGACGAGAGGATGATGCAATCGGTATTTTTTGGTGGGGACAAACAAAAATTAGGGAAAATGTTAATAAATAAAATTAAATTAAAATTAATACCTTCTTGTGTATATGGGTGTCTTTTTTTTAAAGTTATTTACCAGATATTAAGCATTTTAATTATTTTTTCGTCCCACGTCCCACAAATCCTGTTAAATTAGAAACACATCTGCACTTGATTTTTAAAAACATGCTTGGTGAAATAAACGTCATGAATGATGCAATTTCCAAACAAATACAATAATCATGTTTAGTTTGTTTATTATTAAGAAACCAACAAATAAACCAAGAAAATTATTTATAAATAAAATTAATATCCTAATTTATATCGTATATAATTTTTTTATTAAGAAATCTAACAAATTTAAATTATTTCGTCTAAAACAATAAGCATTTCGTTTTAAAAAAAAACAAAACATCACATGTATTTGCTGCTTAGCTTAAATCAAAAATGAATAACAAATATTTTTAATAGTAATAATTAATAATAAATTTACATATTTTTTTTAAATAATAAAAAAATAATACTTACTGACAATACAAGCAGATATTAAACGCAAGCCACTTTCAGGTATTTCACAATTAGGGAAAACGGGTTGAAGCAAATATGTGGTAAAAATCAAAGAAGCTGCTGCTATACCGACCGGACATATAAGTAAAAAATTAATCCAGAGAGAAACAAATCCCATAAAGTCCCCAAAGGCATTTTTTATATAGATATATTCGCCTCCAGACTGAGGGAAAGTGGCCCCAAGTTCGGCATAACAAAGGGCACACAACATATTATAGACTCCACATACTGCCCACATGATTAAAGACAAGCCGACAGAATTGACATTTTGAAGAATTCCGACCGGAGAAACAAATATACCTGATCCTATGATAATTCCAACGATGATAGCAACACCTTGCATTAAAGTCACTTGTTTTTTGAGTTCAATTTTGTTATCTCTGGTTGAGGTAGACATCTTCTGTTATTATGGTTAGAGAGAGACTTGAAGAGAGGCGTACGTAATGTTGTATTCCACGCGCACATATGAGGAGGCACTGAAAGGCAGTGAGAAAAGAACAAGCTGCCGGGGGTCGTAAAACAGTTAAAAAAATAAAATAAAAAAAAGAAGAAGAAGAAAAAATGTTACTTTTTTCTTTCTTTTTCAGATTAGCAATATTTTTTTGTGTTTAAAAAAATAATAACACCGCCTTTGCTTGAAGTATCTATTGATTACCGGGAAAAAGCAGAGAATCAAGAAGACGGGATCAGTATGGAATCACTATTCCTGTAGTACTCTCTCTATCTCTCTCTTTCTCTCTCTCTATTTATATTTTAAGCTAATCATTTCGACGTGGCGAATGGTTGGCAAGCGAGTCTCGCTCGGCGACGTACGGTAAATTACGTCTGAGTAGTGATTTCGATACAGACTGAGTGCCCCCTACTTTCAGCCTTGTGCCACATCTAAATCACCCTAGGACTTCATGATATGGTGTAGTAAAAATAATGGTTAGCAAACATGTCACGCTAGAACAATTATGACTGGGTAGTGAGTTTGATCCTCACTGAGTGTCCCCTACTTTCGGCCTTGTGCCACATCTAAATCACCCTAGGACACCTCGATATGGTGTAGTAAAAATAATAGTTAGCAAACTTGTCACGCTAGAACAATTATGACGGGGAGTAAGTTTGATCCTCACTGAGTGTCCCCTACTTTCGGCCTTGTGCCACATCTAAATCACCCTAGGACACCTCGATATGGTGCAGTAAAAATAATAGTTAGCAAACTTGTCACGCTAGAACAATTATGATTGAGTAGTGAGTTAAATCATCACAGAGTACCCCATACCCCATCGTAAGGCCATAACACCAGGGGAAATAGAAAAATCAGGCGTAGCTGACCACAAGAAATACACAGAAATGTGAGATCACCACACCCTGTGAGATGAGGTTGAAATAATGGACAGAGAACATCACTTTATCTGTAGTTGAAGGCATACAATTGAATTCAAAATATAATGAGTTGAAGCCATAAAATTATGTTCAAAATATTTAGATTTCAGCATTAAGTTACCCATAGAGGTGTTGATATGCCGCTAAACAAAATCAACCAACTGAATTCCAAACATATAAAAATAAAGTGAACATGGTTATGCATGTCATATATAGGACAACTGAACCCCTGGATAAGTGCCCTCCCCCATAGGACAACTAGCCACTTGGACAATTGCCAACACAGGACATCTGCCCATAATTTCCTATTATAGTTGTATAATTATAGTTTTTTTTTTAAGCATTCCACCCCAAGCAAGGTGGGCGGGAATGCCACTAGCATGCAAGGGGTTACAGAGAGTCAGAGCAAGAGTAAAAAGGGGAGTTTAAGGTAAGGATAAAGAGAAGGATCAAGATCAAGGAATCAGAAGATGTCGATTGACATTATATTTAAATTTTTGACGATTATAGTTATCAGAGAAGCAAGTAAGAGGAGGAGAGTTCCACTGTTGGGAAGTGTGAGAGAAGAAGCTGTTGGAGTAGAATGAGCAGTTACATTTAACTGTTTTGAGAGTAAAAGAGTGGGACCGAGATGCCAACCTTGTAGCACGCTTAAATTCACGCAGCTGGGGTACAGTAGCTCATCCAAGCTGTTGCCATGAAAATATTTGTAGAAAAGACAGCGGGAAGCCACAGCACATGTTTGAGAAAGTGACTGTAGACAAGATGCCAGCTCAGAATTGGATAAAACATGAAAATAAAACCCTAATAAGTTTTATTAGTAGTTATCACCCCTCCCCAAAAGTTGTGCTTTCTCTTAATGGGAGCAATTGCCCGGGGGTGGGGGGCAGTTGTCATATTACCCTTTTGCTTAGTTTTATTAATATTTATTCCCACCTCCAAAGTTGTGTTTTCTCTTATTTATCAGGTCAATTGGCCCAGTGGGTAGAATTGGCCCAGGGTGTAGTTCTCCTGATACCTCTTTGATTGTTAGGGAAACAGTCTCCCAAAGGATAAAAGAATGGCTATAAAATGTTTTTAATTTTTCATTTATTTATTTTTGTGGAGAACGTTTCCTGATGTTATAATGAGTGTTTAGTTGCAAAGGAAGGGAACAAAGAAGGATTCAAATTTCAAACATGTATTGGCCAAATGTGAAGAATATATATATATATATATATATATATATATATATATATATATATATATATATATAAAAAGAACAGTAAGATATAAAATCCGGTGTTCTTATAGATATTTTTATAGTGCTCAATGTAAATTTACAGAGCATTAATATTATAAATTAATTGATTTATTTGATTTAAAATATGGTTTTTTTCCACTTTTTACAAAATAGTGCTCAATGTAAATTTACAGAGCATTAATAAATTAATTTATAATATTAATGCTCTGTAAATTCACATTGAGCACTATTTTGTAAAAGCGGAAAAAAACATATTTTAAATCAATTAATTTATAATATTATATATATATATATATATATATATATATATATATTATAAATTAAGTGATTTAAAATATGGTTTCTTCACTATGCAGGAATTACCATGTTTCAAAAACTGAAGCTAAAAACTTCAAAACTCCATAATTTTTAGCTTCGGTTTTTGAAACATGGTAATTCCTGTGTAGCAATGAAACCATATTTTAAATCAGTTAGTTTATAATATTTATGCTCTGTAAATTTACATTGAGCACTGTTTTGTAAAAATAAAAATATCAATAAGAATACCGGATTATATATCTTACTGTTCTTTCTTTTTATTATAATATATATATATATATATATATATATATATATATATAGTTGTGTCAAAGGTGGTGAAAATTGATTATAAATGGTTCCTTAGTTGCTGTTGGTAATGAAAGTAATTAGGTGTAAAAGTGTTGTTGGTAGGGCCAGGAGTTGATCAATTTCTTGGGTTGGTTGGCTGAGGTCACAATTGGGTTCAGAGGATAACTCTGGAGTGGATCAGTCATTAATAGAATTTAACATATATCTTTCTTTATGGTTGAAATTGATATCTGTAAGGTGTTTGATGGGCTGGCATTTATGCGATGCCATGATGTTGAAGCTGAACTGCCTGGTAACGTGAGATGGTTGATCAAGGTCACAGTAGTGGGCTGATTCCTGGTACAGCAAGTTGGTTGCCAATATCTCTGTTGGATTCTGGTTGAATGTGGTATCAATGAGACAGCATGAGAGAAGAAACTGTTAGCATAGAACTTACAGTTATATCGAGCCAATTCACCTGTGAATTGATGAGGCCTTGTCGTCATTTTAGTACTGAACTTAAATTCATAAAGTTCAGGTGCCATAGCAAAGGGTTTATCAGAACAATTACTATGAAACTATTTATAAAAAAAGGCACAGGGAAGCAACTATACAGCGGTAGGAAAGTGACGGAAGCCGAGATGCCAGGTTAGGAACAATAATATTGCTGATTCTTCTTTTGATTTTATCAAGAATCTCTAAATATATAGCAGAAGCACCGGAACATATCTGGCAGCAATATTTTAAGTATGGATGAATAGTAAACTTATAGATAGATCCTGGGGAGAAAAACTGTCTAGCACAATGATTCCCAACAGAGAGCACATGCCCCACCGGTGGGGGATGGTAATATTTTGCTGGGGTATGCGTAGGATGTGCACCTATACCAACAGAATAAGGGGGCAATTCAAGAATATGTTATTAACAGTGAATGGTTTTCTAGTGAGTCTGTGTGAGAGTGTTAATGTTAATGCATGTTAATCCATACAATGCATATACAGTATGCATACATAAAAATATTTTATGTGTATATACGTATATGTGTAATTGGTATTCAGGATATTTCCTGTCTCCCCATACTTGCATGTCTCGGTCAACAAAGGAGAGGGCGTGATGCATGTTGCTAGAAGAGCCCATGCTTTGTCGGCTGATCAGCACGTAAAGAGAGGGCGTGATGCACGTTGCTTAGAAGAGCCTATGCTTTGTCGGCCAATCAGCATGTAAGGAGAGGGCATGATGCATGTTGCTAGAAGAGCCCTTGCTTTGTCAGCCAATCAGCACGTAAGGAGAGGACGTGATGCCTGTTGCTTAGAAGAGCCTATGCTTTGTTGGCCAATCAGCATATAAGGAGAGGGCGTGATGCATGTTGTTAGAAGAGCCCATGTTTTGTCAGATAATCAGTGTGTGAGGAGAAGGCGTGATGCATATCTCTGGTAGATCTTATGCATTATCGGCCAATCAGCACATGAAGAGAGGGTGTGATGCATGTTGCTGGAAGATCCTGTTTTGTTGGACAATCAGTGTGTGTGAGCATTCAGATTGCTTCCTTCACATGAACTGCAGTAAAATTTTGAATATGTAAGAATTAAATATTACATGGGAGCACCAGAATTTTAGAAATACCAAAGTGGTGCATGGCCCAAAATCAGTTGGGAACTACTGGTCTATTATGAAACAGTGAACCAAATTTCTTAGCAGCTGACAGGATATTTAAGTAGGTCATCATCCTTGTGATACTGATTTGGGAGTGAGAGATGTAAATGAGTCATTCCTTGGGAAATATATATATAAAAAGACTTTGTTTGCTATTGCTTTCTTTCTCATATGTATATCTGCCTCTGATCTGTTACTTCTTTGTGTTGTGTCTGTATTTATGGGAAATTTAATAACCAGCTTTTAGTGTTACCAGGCAGGCTCTTGACTGGAATCCACAAAGGGAAGAGAAATGTGGGTCGACCATAACAAACTTGGTGCAGAAGTGTTAACGCAAAGTTGAAGGCAGCCGGCACAACATGGGCTGAGCTGAAGCGGATCACCCAGAAATGCGTCTGTTGGAGAGATGTTGTTGCAGCCCTATTTTCCCTAAGGAATCAAGAGGCATTATACACACACACACATACACACACACACACACACACATATATATATATATATATATAAATATATATATAAATATTGTGTGTATTTAGGCAGCATTTTTTCATTCATACATGTTTCCTTAAATAATATAGACAAATGTTGTTTATTTATTTTATGTAAATTCTTTTCATAACGTCTGATAAGCTTAATAACATTATCAGTAAACAAAAAAAGAAAATCACAATATTGATACATATTTTTAAATCCAATCTAAGCTTTTGGCTTACATAAGCCATTATCAAAGATGACAAATACTGTAGATATCCTGTTTGTTGCTGTTAAGGGTGTTCAATTTTTCCTTGGTTATTTCAATTTGCCTTTTCACAAGGCTACATTTATAATTCCAAGTATTGATAGTATTGTGGGCTGCTGGATCATATAATTTAAATTGTGCGTATTTAGGCAGCATTTTTTATTAAGCTTATCAGACATTATGAAAAGAATTTACATAAAGTAAATAGACAACACTTGTCTATATTATTTAATGAAACATGTATATATATATATATATATATATATATATATATATATATATATATAATAACAAAAGTGATAATAAAACAAAGAATGAAATCAGTGCAACTAAATGCCCCCAAAATTATTGAAAATAAAAAATTATAATTTTAAATTTATCCTCCTTCTTCTCCTTTCATGCATGTCTAGTCACATTGATATAAATGTTGCTTTAGTCTGAAGTCATCAAGGAAGAAACATGTCTTAACTCAAATAAGGTGTTGCCCGTGTGTTGTTTAAAGACTCAGTTTATCATGAGTTTCACTTCCCATATCAGGTCATAACACTCATTTTGTGAAAATGGAGTCATAGAAGTTTAAATTTCTTATAGAGAACATATAGTGTAGAACAATGATTGTCAAATCATCTTACAACCCCCTGGCTATGGGTTAAATAGTAGGATTTGTATCAGAAAATCATTATCTCAAAAAAATTCTTATAATCCAAAAATATAGAAGAGAGTTCATCCGAACAATTACCATGAAAATATTTATAGAAAAGGCACTTTATAATTATTGGAAAGTGACTGAAGCCAAGATGCCAGGTCAGGATTGATAACATTGCAGATTCTTCTATAGATTTTATCAAAATATATAGCAGAAGCTCCAAACCAGATGTGGTAGCAATATTCGAAGCACGACCCAAAACTTCTGTAAGATAGATTCTGGGGAGAAAATTTGTCTTGCACAACACAGTTGATCAACATTCTTAGCGACAGATCTAGCAATGGATTTAATATGGTCTTTCCAATTCATACCCGCTGAGAATGTTAGCCCATGAAGGCACAATGAGCCACTCTCCTGGGGGTTAGCATCAGCCATGCTGACAGGAAGGAGGAAAAGGTCTTTCAGGTGATTGATAGAGAGGATTTTCATTTTGGAGGTGTTATTATTATTATTATTATTGTTATTATTATTATTATTATAACAAACGTTATATTTAAGGGTACATTGACAACTTGTTTTTAAAACAATAAAATTAATATCTATCTGTCGAGCTATTGAAAGTTTTAATATAGAAAATGTACCACCCCATATATGTACCTTCTTTAATTACTTATACTGTAGGGATACAGAAGGTGATTATCTCCCTTTGGTGGGGATAAGTCACATGGGTCATGTGATGAACCACTTAGTGATGTCACTCCATACAGTGATGAAAGTGGCAGTCAAATTCAGCTAATTTTACAGCAGTGAAAACCAGACAGAAGCTTAGAAGTCCATGGTTCTATTTCCATTTAGGAATATATCTTTCTCAGATATAGAACAAGACTCCAGATTGCAGTCCTCCATTTGGCAAACCCATGACTCGCTGTTTCCATGTTTGCTGGGACATAGATGAATCAGGCCTGTTTGAATCTGGAGTCCTAAACATGGCTTCTCCAGACACAGGAGTATCTTCATATTATATGTAAGATCCTACCTTTATGTTTCTCCTTACACTCTGCTTTACTGTGTAGATATATATGATATATTATTTTCCATGTGGCTCATGTATATATATGTATATATGATTTTGTGTATGTGTTAGTAGTATAAAAGTCTCTCTGAGAACAAAGCATGTTTGTCATTCATTTCTTTATCTATCTATCTATCTATCTCAGTCTGTTCCTATCTATCTATCTATCTATCTATCTATCTATCTATCTATCTATCTATCTATCTATCCCAGTCTGTTCATATCTATCTATCCCAGTCTGTTCATATCTATCTATCTATCTATCTATCTATCTATCTATCTATCTCAGAGGTAGCTTGAAAAATATTTTTGAAATAAAAAATTTTTAAATTTTGTAAAACTAATCCTATTTTTACTTCAGTTTCTATAAATAAATGTTGCAAAATAAAACTCTTATATTTGGCCTATTAGAGTCTATCAGAGGACGATATGTGTTGGTAAAGAAAAATTTTATATTTTATTTATACCTGAAATTTTTACACATATATATTTTTATATATTTTTACTGCCAAAGAAGTTGCTTAAAAATGAGCCCACATGATGAAAAAATGTCCCAAATTTAAGAAAAACAAAATTTTATTATCAAAATATTTCTGATATTATTAATTGGGAAGACTAAAGAAATTTCTGATAGAAAAATGACTTTTTTTTTCCTTTTTAGAACCTTTAAAATTTTGGTTAAAATTTTGTTTTTCTGGTGTCAACATGGGACCATAAATTTGTATGGAAAATTTAATCATCTTTTTGCAGTAAAAAACACATTGATTTGGAAATTCTTGCAAAAATCAGATAATTGTTGTATTTTAATGAAACTTTCAGGACTTATTCACAAAAATGAATGATATTATTTTTTAAATGTTTCTTTTTTCAGAAAATTTTGGTAAAAAAATACTTTTTTTTACATCTGTTACAGCCACATTTAATTTTATGAAATTTTGAGAAACACTTTTTATGTTTATATTAGTTATTTAGACAAGTCCTCGAAGAATTTAAATTAATTTATTTATCTATCTCTGTTTACATCTATCTCTCTATCTATCTCAGTCTATTGCTATCTATCTATCTATCTATCTATCTATCTATTTATCTATATGTCTGTTGGTTCCTATCTATTTATCTATTCTTATGTTTCTATCTATCTATCTCAGTCTATCCTTATGTATCTATCTTGACCTATTTATATCTATCTATCTATCTATCTATCTATCTATCTATCTATCTATCTATCTCAGTCTTTTGCTATCTATCTATCTATCTATCTATCTTGGTCTGTTCCTATCTATCTATCACAATCTGTACATTATCTATCTATCTATCTATCTTGGTCTGTTTCTATCTATCTATCTATCTATCTATCTATCTATCTATCTATCTATCTATCTATCTATCTATCTTGGTCTGTTCCTATCTATCTATCTATCTTGGTCTGTTCCTATCTATCTATCTATCTATCTGTACATTATCTATCTATCCATCTATCTATCTATCTATCTATCACAATCTGTACATTATCTATCTATCTATCTATCTATCTATCTATCTATTCCAGTGTATTCCTTTATATCTCAGTCTGTTCATATGTATGTATGTATGTATGTATGTATGTATGTATGTATGTATCTATCTATCTATCTATCTATCTCAGTCTTTTGCTATCTATCTATCTATCTATCTATCTATCTATCTATCTATCTATCTCAGACTTTTGCTATCTATCTATCTATCTATCTATCTATCTTGGTCTGTTCCTATCTATCTATCACAATCTGTACATTATCTATCTATCTCTCTATCTTGGTCTGTTTCTATCTATCTATCTATCTATCTGTACATTATCTATCTATCTATCTATCTATCTATCACAATCTGTACATTATCTATCTATCTATCTATCTATCTATCTATCTATCTATCTATCTATTCCAGTGTATTCCTTTATATCTCAGTCTGTTCATATGTATGTATGTATCTATCTATCTATCTATCTATCTCAGTCTGTTCCTATGTATCTATTTCAGTCTATTTATATATATATATATCTCAGTCTATCTATGTATCTATGCTTGTTCATATCTATTTATCACAGTCTGTTCATATCTCTCTACCTATCTACCTATTTCAGTCTATTCTTATCTATCTCAATCTGTTCATATCTCTATCTATAAAAGGCAGCTGATCGTTTTGTGTTCATTTTGTTTAGTTCTTTTTTTGTAACAGATTTAATGTTTAGTATAGAGCTTAGAAAAAATTTGCAGTGTGAGATAGGCAAGAAGTAAGGCATGTAGCAACATCAGCACGGCAAAGGGCACTCCTTTAAAAGGCAAGGAAGGGGCAAAAAAATATTTTAAGTCAAGTGATAGCGATTGCTGTATGAGTCGTACGATTTTGAATCAAGCACGGCAATGCCGGGCCATGCTGCTAGTCTATGTATATATCTATCAATCTCAGTCTATTCTTATCTATCTATCTATCTATCTATCTATCTATCTATCTCAGTCCCTTTCTATCTATCTATTTATCTATCTATCTTTTGCTGACCTTTACAAACAAAATACGTATTGAGTGAAAACAAGCAGTGTCAAGTTGAAACTGAATTTGTTGATTCCAATTTCCATGTTTCTTAACTATAAAAAGGTCTTCCAATGTAATAAGGCATATTCGGTAATGACCATCTCTATTTTCAATAATTTATAAAGGTCATTTATCTCTGAATGCTTGATCTCACTATACTTCTTTTGATATATCATGTTATATAAAAATTTGTTTTATTTAGATTAATTTGGATGTGTGGACGGTGCAATGGAATAAGAAATCAGGGAGCTGAGTTTGAATTCCAGTCAAGTTCATTGCATTCACTTATATGGAAATAACCTTGGGCGGGGCCAGTGCAAGGAACTTGTGTCCCTCAAGATCTATCCTGTGGGGACCCTGACTCAACTATATCTCAATTTTCATAAGGTAGTATTCATATAAAATAGAAATTTTATCATAACCTAATTATCTACAATAATGGCTTATATGCAATATTGGTGAACAATTAAGCTTGAATGGATTGGTTTGATTTGTTTTGGCTTGTTTTATGGTATATCAACCTCAATGGGTTATTTAATGCCAACAAGATTTTTATTCCTGGTAATATTTTTTCCAAAAATGTATTGCTGGTAATATTTTTTTCTTCAAAAATGTATTGCTGATAATATTTTTTTAAAAAATGTATTGCTGGTAATAACTTTTCCTCAAAAAATAAATCCAATGTATCTAAATACAAATAAGAGACCTGTCATAAAAACTCATTCCATCTTAAATAAATCAATAATGTTTTGCGGCAATTTTTAACATCAACTTCAGATTTTTCTTGTTAAAATGTTAAATAAGTAAATGAAAAAGAAATTTCCATATTTTGGTTGGTGTTCAAATTTCTGTGTCGGAAATTGTGAAATGGGTCCTGTCTGTGGAGTCGACGAAGATGTCAGGGGAGAGAAAAAAAGAGGGAAATTACTAGGCTTTTTATACACACTCATAATTGATTCTCATTGGTCCAGAGCATGGGCCAAAGGGTCTTGTGCCCCTCCCCTGAATCTATGATACAGCCCCCCACCCACTCTAATACATCTCAGTTTTCTTAAGTTAATATTCATATAAAATACTAATTTTAGTGTAACCTAATTAATTACAGTAATGGATCAGATGCAACAATGAACTAGAAAAATTGAAAATAAATACAATGTATCTAAATGCAAATTAGAGACTTGTCATAATAGATCATTCATTTTAAATAAATCCACTTTTTTTGCGTTAATTTTAAAAATCACCTTGAGTTTTTTTTGTTGAATAATTTTAACACATTCAACATTGTGGATAAAAATTAGTGAATTTTATACAGTGTTTATTTTTTTAAGACTTAGCATAAGCAAAACAAATTCAGAAATTTGGATGAAATTAAAAAACATCCCAGAATATTGTCAAAGCCCACTACGACTTTTCATCCTTTAATAATGGAACATTGTGCTTACTTTAATTTGTAAGTTATATAAATGTAGGTAGAAAAAAAACAAATGTTAATAAGATAAGCAAGGATTACAAAGCGCACTGCCAGGGGCCTCCAATAAGCCCCCACTTGTCGATGGCTAAAGGGCAGTACACACTAGCCCTGCCCTTGGGTAAGGTATGAATGCAAACTTTCATCTCCCCCTAGCCATTGGTTAAATAGTGGGGCAATATGGGCTCTGTTGCGCTATCTTACAGGGGTCAAGGTCTGCTATTTAAGGAAGAAATAGATTCATGCCTACATTTGGACTGTTTTAAATAGGTACAAGATTCCAGTTGCCTGTCATGTTACATACAGTTTGAGGGAGAAGATGATTCATGCCTTCTTTTAGTTGTACTACATTACAAGGATAAATGAAACCCTGCTATTTATTTATATATTAAGGTAATTATTTGCTTCTTCAACTCACTGCCATCCTGGGTAAGATGATAAACTACATCCATGTCCTGGGTAAGATGATAAACTACATCCGCATCCTTGGTAAGACGATAAACTACGTCTGACAGCAAGGCCTCTGATCAGGAGGTTTTGAGGAGCGTGGAACCACCTCTTAATTGTTGGTGTTCCCAGGTCCATCCTGACCCAGGGTGGTAGCACCTGTTAGGGTCCTAGCTATGGGCAAATAGTTAACTCACAAACTGGGGTCAAAACACTATGAAAATGTAAAAATAGGTTGTAATACCAGAAATACTTTGTAAGAAATTATTATCAACAACAAATTTTTGAAGAAAAATTATTACCAGGAATACATTTTTGAAAAAAAATTACTACCAGCTCTACATTTTTGAAGGAAAAAAATATTACCAGCAATAAAAATCTTGTCGGCATTAAATAACCCATTGTGGTTGATATGCCATAAAACAAAACCAAACCAAACCAAAATTAAACCAATGGCAAGCAATACACTGCACATTCCCAGAAATTTTACTTTACAAACATCAACAAAGCACCAGACAGGAAAACACAAAACCATGAAAAGGGTGAAGAGAGTACACTTTACTAACCAGAGTTTGTATTGGACATGCAGGACTAATTCACGTCCACTTGCTAAGTATTGAAGATTTACCTTGATGCGCTAATTGCAATCATAGACTGATGGTTAAGAACATTCTGATTGAATGTAAAAGCTATCAGCTTAAACATGGTAAATACGAAAATGACACAAATATAAAAACATTGTTAAAAGATGTTGCCCCTGGCCAGATAACATGGTTTCTAAAATGATGTAATAGAATAACCTGTCACCCCCATGAGTGACTACACTATAGGTAGTAACTACCTATAAGTATCTGTAAGTCAACGGACTACAGAAACAAGCTGGAATCTTTTACTCAGCTTTTAGCTGTTGTCAAACTCTCTGCCTGAAGGCAGAGAGGAACCCAAACAAGGCTATGTTGAAGGGCAGCGTCTCGTCTGGAGAGGTAGACAGACCCGAACCTGTTTATGTGGGGTTTACAGGATATTTTTGGCTGAGCCTATGGGCTCGGATTGTCCCACACTAAAATCAGCCTTGTGCCACATTCTACCCTATGGGGAGGTTGGTAAATATTGCTAGCTGGGATCTGTTGAGTACGACTTACGCGAGAACTACTGACGTTCCAATAGTAGCACTCACTACTGGATTGACTTGCGACGACCTTGTGCATAACTGTTACCTTTATTCTTATTGTACTGGTTTTTTACAATAAACCTTTACTTATTTTATCCACCATGTTTTTCAAGTATATATTCCTTTTAGCATGGAATATAACATTAAAGAAATAGGAATTTTTAAAGGAATTTAAAAATTGCTTATGTATGCATATTTAAGAAGGACCGGTTTAAACGGATTTGATAGATTAAACAATCTATTTAAAACGAATTGTAGCTACCAAACTGAGCCGCTCAAATATCGAATAAAAGAAGTGTATATATGCATGGTGAATTGACATAAGTTGGCATAAAATGACCCATCAGGATTGACATGTTGTTAAGATCTAACCAAGTCTAATCTTCAACTCATTAAATTTTTTCTCATTTTAAGTTTTAAAAGCCATTGAGAGTGGGTTTGCCCCATTTTGTGCCTTACCTGAACTTGTCCTTCAGGTAAAATTCTAACTTTTCAAAAAATTCCCAGTTGACATTTATGAAAGTTTACATATCAAAGGTCAATTATGACATATCAAAGGTCAATTATGACACTTTAAACATCAGTTCAGACATTAAATGTCTCAGGGCACATTGAAATGATACAAATGTAAAGGAACCCCAATCTGTGGTTGACTGGGGCAGGAAATGACTCGTAAACTTTAATGCCCCCAAAATGAAACTGCTCTCATTTACCCACCTTAGATAAACCTCCCTGCCTCCTATCAGAATGGCTGATGCTCAACTCCACAAGAGCATCTCACTGCGTCTCACGTTTTCTACTGACCTGAGAGGGTGAAAACTATATTGAATCAGTGGCTACATCTACTGCAAGGAAAGTTGGTTCACTGTGTCATGCCAAAAGTTTTTTTTTTTGTCCATCCTTCAAATCTACAAATCTACCATTTGTCCTTGCATTGAATACTATTGCCATATATGGTCTGGTGCACCTGCTGTTCATCTTGAAGTTCTCGACAAAATCCAAAGATGGATATGAAATGTGATAGGTCCTGGCCTGGCATCTTGACTCCAGTCACGTTCTCACAGACATGCTGTGGCTTCCCTCTGCCTTTTCTACAAATATTTTTCATGGTAACTGCTCTGACGAGCTATTTTAACTGGTGCCCCAACTGCATGAATTTAAGCGTGCTACTCGGCTGGCATCTCGATACTAGCCTTTTACTGTCAAAACAGTTAAATGTAACTGCCTCTTCTATTCCCACACACTTCTTGACAGTGGAACTCCTTCCTCTTAATTGCTTTCCTGATAACTATAATCTTCAAAAATTTAAATGTAATGTCAATCGACATCTTCTGATGTCTTGATCTTAATCCCCGTCCTTCTCTTTATCCTTTCCTCAAACACCCCTCTTTACTCTTACTTTCACACTCTGTAACTTGCATGCTAGTGACACGCCTGTCTTGCTTGGGGTGAAATGCTTAAAAAAAATATGCACAAAATCTTTGCCTACCATATTTTGTTTCATGGCATGTCTATTTTCTTGGTTCAGAAATTAGACTAATTCAGTATAAGCATCATATTAATGGCCGAGCTCAAGTCAGCCTTGTGCAGAGTTGGAACAACTGACTTTCTGGTCCAGATGTTAGAGCAGGTAAGTATAAGCATTGTATTAATGGTTGAGCTCAAGTCAGCCTTGTACAGAGTTGGAACAACCAAAAGTAAGTTTGTATTTACTTTTTCTCTGGAAGGTTTAAACAAGGTTGTGGTATGTCCATTTTCTTTTTCTTGGTCCAGATGTTAGGGTAAGTCACTATAAGCATCATTACAATGGTCAGCCTTGTGCAGAGTTGGAACAATCAAAAAGAAAGCTTGATTTGGTGAATGTTTTGGGAGACATGTGCGAGATCCATGTATTGGAAAGCGGGA